ACGTCCCTTTAACTAGGATCGGCAGTGTGATACGATGTAAATAATGTTTATTTCCTCGCCGACCTACCGCAAACTACCGGTACAAGTGTTAAGTGTTTGCGTGTTTACATACTTAGTATGATGAAAATTCTCTGCCCTCATTAACAAATATGGAGATATCAGAAGACAATGGGATTGTCGTAAAACAATGTACAAATAAAAGCTGGCAACGGGGCTCGGTCAAACATTTCCGGAATTTTATGTATGGTATGAAATATTTTGTTATATTTGCCGCTGATGTAATTTATGCCTTCTCAACAATAATCAATTAATTAAGAAACAGGTCAGGAGAAAAAGTCAATCCTTAAACGATTGCCGTAATAAGAACAGGAATTCAAGCTAGGCTTGTAGAGTATACGCTATTGTCGTACCGGACGTAGCCAGCGTCCGTTTGTGTGGTTACCTTAGTATATAGCATAAAACAATTATCTAGTAGTTTGTGGTTTGAAAGACCTGTATTGTATAATCTTACATTGTGAATGTAGGATTACTCAAAGTATTATCTGCTTCCGATAGGAAAACGTTAATCACCAAATAGATATTGGATGAGTCTGTCTGATTCACTATCGAATAAGATAGCGACATGTCCTTGTTTTGCGAACCTTTTCAAATAAATCTGTAATACCAACAGAGTTACTTCCCTTCTATAGCGATCTCTGCTTTCGTTTATATTAACGAACTAGAATTTAACTGCTATAATACATGTAAAATACAAAATAAGCAACAATTAAATACCACCAGAGTCAAAAATTATTTTGTCTAAACAGTATTTTACTCCATAGCCAACATGGTTATAACATGTACACAATGTCAAAGAGAAAGAATCGAGAGTGTTGCTTCAATAAATTCCTCTTATATAGTATGTATATCACAACACATCTTCAGCACACACGCAGGCATACACACATAGTGAGATATTAGCCAGGTGGCATAGGACTAGTAGTTAGCGCCTGATAAGGCAGTTCTTGCAAATGCTTCAAAATTGTATTGATTAATGTATATGCTAATTGTATTGAATGTATAAATTTTATATTTATGAACTGTAAAGCGCTTTAGAGTGGTTTATTCTAGCTAGATAGGGCACTATATCAAATATTATATTGTTTGTATTGTTAAATAAAAACAAAACACGCATATTTTGACAAAAATATTAATTCTCCTTTATTTATTCAACTTATCGATATAAATCTATCTAAACCAAACCGTAGTCAATTACAATAGACAATATTTACATTAAATCAGGTAATCAAATTATACCGATTAATTCAGAGAGTCTGTGAATCGTACATGCAAACGTCACTGGCCGACAGAGTTGATATATGTCACTTCCAGACCCGATAAGTAGACATCGAGGGGAGTACGTCACTTCCGGAACTGATGAGGGGGTACTGCTACAGTGTATATGGAGTGTTATTGGAAACAGACATCTTCTGTTGTATCAATGGACGATGGAGGATGACAGACAGTTGTACATTCTTTCATAATGAAACATGCACTTCAAAAGATCAATCCCGCATGCAGAAGTTCAAACATAACTTGATTAAGAGTCTTGATGAGAATGGGATTATTTTTATGAATAAAAATATGTCATATTTTGACAGTACATAAAATCATATTGTAGAAAAAATCAAATTGTATTTTTATAACATTGTATCGAGGAAAAGATATATTAGTATTATAATTTAATGTTTTGATAACAGTAAGTTTTAGGGTTCGTGTATATGGATATTAATGACAGCCTTTCCACGTGATCAACAGAGAAATCAAATAAGTGATAATTGTCGGTATCCACGTCCGATAACTTCCTATGGACTTTAGCTGGATCGTTTGTGTGTGTGCTATATTCTAGTGCGTTATATGATGTGCTATTACAGTTGAACATTGACATTTTTTTAACAGACCTCCGCAAATGTACCATCGAAGATGCAAATATACGAAAATCTCATTCATTTCTCGACTATATTTCTTATTGTATGTTTAGTAAGTTAAAACAAAACCTTTCATTCCGAACCTCCCCTTAAATGGACGTTCAAACATTACTAGAATTTTCTTTTATTCCCAAATTATAAAGTAAATTGTCGTAGAGACGCTGATATCGACAAAGCAAGGTTTGACACAGAAAAAATATTATTTAGCTGTTGATCATAATTTCGAATGGAAAAAAAGATGAAACGATAGTTGTTTAGCGGATTTTCAAATACGTTGACAATAAGTTTGAGATACATTGATTTTTATGTAAATTCCATTGAATGGAGAAGTATAGAGAAAAATATACCCGATATTTACTGACTAGCGTAATATGTTACCAATATTTATAACTTACTTTCCGAAAATTAACGTTCGGAACGGAACTTCCACCAATATAACGAGATTACATGCATGTAGTCACCATAGAAAGTATCATTCGGAACATCTTTTGTAGTTGAGGAGTTTTACAACTTATCATTTTCAAAGGATTTTATACATAATCTAGCTCACGCACAATTCCCTCAATAGAGTAGCACTCTCTTCAACATGTTTCCAATCAGAAAAACAAATCGGCAAAGTATGTTTTCTGGTACAAGAAACGACTAGGCTACGTCATGGAATTTCTCGAGGTGTTCTGAATGGATTCATAGCAACAGGATGTGTCCATTCGGAATGATATGTATATAGAAAGTGCATGGTTACGACACGACAATAAAGTCCGAGAAAATGGCCAAGCTACGATATCAAATGGCTGTGTATGTAAATACTCCAATGTAAACATCTGGATTCATTTATATATATCAATGTCTTTGTACATACATAAACTTTGATTTTTCTTTGTTACTACACCAACTAAATAACAAATAAACAGTAAACATTGTAGATATACTATAGGTTTTTAACATCAATAGCCGCCCTTGCGGGCATGGAATCAAAACGTTCAGGGGTTTCTCAGAACACCTCGACGGCATTGACCGAGGTATTCCGAACATTTTCCTTCGGTTTCTCAAGTCGATGTACCTGATTTTCACAGTAAGGCATTTAGTAAATGGCCCTTTTTATCATAGAAAACAAAATCAAATTACATACAAAACATTTGCTACAAACAGAAATAAATCTATCTGTCGAACATGTTCCGGGAATATACGAAAACCAAAGTTCCCGACACATACCGGAAAAACACGACGGTAAACAGTTATTACTGGCCAACTTCATTGAAAGGCATTGAATTTAACCGGTCATTTCTTTATTTGTTAGAGATATTCTTTTCATTTTTTTTACTTGTACTCAATATTATATTAGGAACGATGTTAATTATTATATATCAAGAATGGTTTTACCAAAAACATGTACAAATTGTGCATTTATATGTATCATTAAATCATAACCAGATAGGAAGGATTAATGAAATACAAAATTGAATAAACTTATGAACAGTGACTGTCAAAAACTGTTAGCAGGTTAAGGAGTCATACATTGGCAAAGGAATGATTTCAATAGCTAGTGTATCTACCAATATCACAATATCACCACAGCTGTTCAAATTAAACACCATTACAAGATAGAATGACTTTAAAAATAAATAAAAGTTATAAAACAAAAATATCAAATACTCTGGCAGGTTAATATAATAGTATCTGACAAAAAGTACCTACATGTATATGCTTTTTTTATATTAACGTTTTAAATATTTGATTTAAAATTCATTCCAAAATCTGAACAAATTTTCAGTATAGAATATCTTTTGTGAAATGAAGTTTTATATTTTTTAACAATTTGCATTTGTATATCGAGTACATTTAATACCGTACAATAATCAATTGAATTAATAGTGTTTAATATAGTGTTTATATAGCAATACTCTATTTGATATATAGTTTTTTATAACAATATTTAGTTGTATAAACACGAATATAGTATTTTCACAATTATTAATTGCATCCTGAAGAATTAGCTCCCGAACACATTTTCCAAACAAAGAAATCTATTAATAAATTCCTGATACTGTCCAATCGATGTCAATAAAAATATACTTAAGTTTAAGAGATACTGACAGTTTCATTTTTCCGGAGCTTATTTAATCCGGAACCTGCGTCCGGCCTAAGAGATTCCACTGTATCGTTATAACAATATTGTGTGTAACGAATATCAATATCTCTTCTATAGTATCTTCTACAAATTATTAACAAGAGCGAACTTTCGTTTTTTTGAAAAATTTGTAGATTTTCTAACGTTCTTAAATATCTTTCATAACAATGAGCAATTTGAAGAAAAAAGGAAAACAAGGTCATCTCCTGAGTTTACTCAAGTGAAACCAATTACAAGACGTGTATATAAATCTTGAATATTATTACTTTTTGTTTGTAATTTCATAAATCTACCATAGTTAACAGTATATTTGAGGAACAAATATAACAACATCACATAGATAGAATACAGGAACAAATGCAAATAACTTCTTCCCCNGAGATTATCTCCCTTCCTTTGTATGAATTAACCTTGATTTTAGTGTTTTTCTTCAATATTTTTTAAATGGTTTTTACTATCCATTCAGTAAATTTAATATCTATATCAGGGAAATAAAGTGGTAACTGCAAAGAGGAAATATTGTGTTGGTTATGTTTTCCATAGGTCACAAAATTAATTAACGAGGTTTTAATTAAATCACAGAGAAATGTCAAAAATATACACACAATTAGAATAGCCAGTCACTTTTACCTTTAACATATTAAGATATTGAAACAGTGCAAATATATTGCCATGGCAAATCTTTTCAATAGTACACGCTTAACAAGTTTTTAATATCTTATTACAACAACTTGTTATCAAAATTGAAAATAAACCCATTTTGAAATTAATTTAGTTAGGCAGATCAAATATTGATATTATATATAATTTTAAAAAACCAATAATAATATAGAATATTTTGTTAAATAATTATTAAAAATCAAAAGAAAACACATAATAAGGCAACATCTAAACGAACCAGACTTTTCAGAACTAAACCAAGATTTGCATTGGTAATATTTGATTGAGGACGGAAAAGCCACGCCAACATTTCCCGCCAAAAACAAGAGTGGGAATAGACAACAGGCTATATATAGCAACGCAAATCTATAGACACGATTTTAAATGTATATAAATAGGATGAAATTGATTTCCGAAGCAGACACAACCATGTTCTTAGTATTCATCAGAGACCGATATATCACACACTCCAGAGAGCGTCACTAACAGGGAATTATAAAATCAACTAATCGATACCGAAAATCAATTAAATCTCGCGAATTCTTATATTCGCCGTACTATTCAGTAAATATTACTGGGGAGGGTTTTAATTCGGAATGCTTAATGAGCCTCTCGTCAATCATAAGTGAATCACATTCACACGATAAATAATGTGGGTTAAAATTCGTGGAAATGAATACCCCGCAAAAACCAAGTAATGTACAGTAAATAGTAGGTCCTTAGATATAAAAACGTAACCGCTCTCAACCATGTACTGTATATATAGCAGGGAGTCTGTAATATATTGTACAATGGATCTCTTTGGTAAAAATATTGCTAATTTATGTACAGGTGTGATTTGTTTTAAAAAGACATAAAACGGATTTAATATTTTTGTTTACACGAACAGTTAAACAACACGCATTCAACTCTCCCTCATCCCAAAATCCTCTTTCACATAAATCTCAATCTCTTTAGTGATTGGGTTGGCAAGATGGCCAGTAAATACTTTAAAGTCTCGCTACCCGCGAGATTTTGGAAACCGGATTTGACGTTCTGATGCGCGTGCGCTGTTTAAAGACGAGATCGTCTCTGAAGACACAAGAAGCGTCCATCTTTATGGCTAGCTATACAATATTATGATTTGATGACATCTCTGCACTAGTAAGGTACATGTATACGTAGCTAGTTAAAACGTCCTTTGGACACAGGAACACACAAGGGAAATTGGTTGGTCATCGACGTAGACATCTGGTTGTCTGGACGTTGATTGGAAAAATCTGGACATTGAAGTCACACGCTTTCGACTCTCGGAAATACTTCTGGGACATTCATCTCACTCTACTCCAAATTAGTGTTTGACGGGTATTGTCTGTATCTGTAAACTTTAACCTTTTAGTTACACGTGGCTTGTAGAGTTGACTGTTGTGAGAAGTAACCATATCACATCAGATTTCAGACAGACAAGATTGATTTACCCTTTTTTACCTCTATTGAACGATTGCTTAAATGATTGCTGACTTTTCAAAAACCGATGATATTGACCAATCCAGCTATTGCTCAACTTTGTGTGTAATCGTATAATTAAAATTTCGGTCCAATTATGAAAGTTGTCGTATATTGGACCTTCCCTAGATTGCTGATTAAGTTTGGACTGATCAATGCAATACCGGATTGTTGCGTTGTCCTTGAACTATTGACCTTTGACCTATGCTAATCTTGCGTTCATTAGTTGGTGATTGCTTCACCTATGACCTTTCTTAGGCCGGACCGGATTTTTCTGACTGAGGTTTTGATTCTGCTTTCGGTTCTTCCGGTGTGGGTGTTTGGTTGTCAGCACCGTTTTCCAGCTTGACCATCTCTGTTGAAAAGATAGACAACGCCCAGTATTAGAAGTGTGCGACGCTTGTCATTAAGTGTAAAAAGAAAACGACATCTTTTCTCTCATTAAAATACAATTGGTAATTCTTTTTTAAATATAGCCTTGTATAAGATCATGGTGAACATGTTCTAATATACTTCAATAGTACACCATGAAGCAAAGAACAGATGAAGATATGTAACAACATCAGTGATTGATTAAATACATACCCAATCTAGTTAACGACATACCAGTCGATTGCATTTAAAACTATCCGGAGAAGTATAGCCATGATGCCTTCTTCAAACTACATCCAATGCTGACTGTTAGAGGCGACTTTTACTTTTAAATTTTCTTACCTTTTTTGTGATTCCTATTTTCATCGTTTTATTAAAATTTTATGTCACTTTTGATTATTTTTCAATGGATTGGTCCAGTGTGTCATTTTATATTGATGGACCTTCTCAATAACAACCAATCAATAATTCTATCATAGTTTACTTTATATTTATTTTTCGACATATCAACAGCAGGTTGACTTACAGCAAGTCAGAACGACTCGTTTACGACTTACCGTAATTCTCGGGCCATATATCGAGGAGGTACCTCAGAACCTCTATGTGTTTTTTGAAGTCCAGAGTTTCCGCGGAGGACGCTGGGGATGGGCAGAGAAGGACTGGGCCAAAACAATTCGCCAAGCTCTCTAACGCCATCTTGTTCTTTTCCGACTTTGATGCAACCTTTTTCAGATGGTTTAGCACAGCAGCCATGGTTTCCTGTGGAAATAAGGGGATATTATTTCTGATTACTTTGTTGTCATGAGGTAAAATAGAAGTTATACGTCAACAAAGTACGCATCTACAGATAAAGTAATAGAAAGTTTATAACATATGTAGTCTTGCCACTTTGTTGCTTTGCTTTAACGATGCATGTACCCCTGCCACAAATTAATTGAAAACATATTTAATGACAACAACAACTGCAAAAAAAACCTCGTATAATCTCCTTGCGGAACTTAAATGAATAAATATAAACACAAAAATAAACAAACAAAAAACAACGAAAAACACTGTTCTGAGATTAAAAATTACAACATAAAGAGACTGTAATGAGAATCAGTGACTTCAACAAATGGTAGTCTCTTGGTTGATTCTTGCTACAGTTATAGCCAAAAGGTCAGTCGAGGTCATTGTAAGTATGAAAACCTACAGTGGAGTTCAGTAGATAGTGTGTCTGCTATGGGACAGGGACCCTATACAATTCCTGTATTACACGTCATATGTCCGTTCTTGAAATGTAAATGAGTTAGTAATGCGTTGACCTGATACATAATGCTCATTTAACAAATAATTCCGATATAATCTCGGAACAAAATATTTTAGTGTAGTCGTAGACTAATGGTATGACGTCGATAACGGTGTAATTCTTCTACACATTTCTATTCATATAATTACAGTTATCTCCCTTTATCATCCACCATATTTAAAATCAAAGCAACCTCTCACGGCTTTAACGTGACATTCAAAGTGACAAATGCCTATAAATTAACAACATATGATTACTTTATATGAATTGAACGCCTTCACAACAAATATTAAATTAATGTCATCGGACGATATTTATAAGAATTCTGGTGAGACTTAAAGCCGAATGCAGTTTTACAATGTGTAGGCTGGATTTTTTTACCGTGTCATGATTTAAGCAAGTTCTATGAAAGTTGGTACAAATACAAAATACATACTTAAGCATTAGAACGGGTTCATGAATACGGGGCCTGCTTGTCACCCCAACGGGGAGATAACCTCGTGCAGAACAGCGCAGGGAGTGCGTAATGATTTAACATTACATATACCTGATTGGCTTTTGGAAGGCACTCCAGTATACTAAGCATGAGTTTGGCGCTTCCATCCGGGTCGCTAGGCAACCGTACACTCAGGGCGTCGAGCAACATTTGGTACAGCGCATTGGTGAAGAGAGGTTCCGGAAGTTCTCGCAGGTAGTCCTTCATCACACCTACAGCAGAAAGAAATCATCCATTACACCTATAACAAAACGCAGTCATCAATCACACCATCCGGATCCTTAACTCTGGACCTGTTATTCCGGATCAATTAATCTGGACTTCTAAATGCCTCTATATTGATGTTATACAGATGGTATTGCATAGATCTTCATGCTCCTTTTTCTTCTAATTTATTTCGGAAAGGAAGCTGAAATGGGATTCCAAACAAATATAGATATATTTTAGTGTGTACCCTACGGATCGTAATTTAGCGGTACCCGTCATACCGGATATCCGATGGTTCTCTGGAATATAGAATCTAGGTACAACTGAGTTGTATACAGACATCAACCAAGAAAGCCAGACCGTAAATATCAAAGAAAGTCACTGCGACAGTATTGTAATGAAAATTACATGTACTTTTACAGTTGTAAGACGGGAATGTCTGTGACAGTGATCAGAAGAATGTTACTGCGACAGCGATAAAAGCAAAGTTTCCGTGACAATGAAAGGAAAAACGTTACCGTGACAATAAAAGGAAAAAAGTTACCGCGATAGAAGTCAGAGCAAAAATACCCGTGACGAGAGAGCTTATCGCGACAGAAGTATGAGGAAAATTACCACGAAAATAGAACAAGGAAAGTTTATTTGGCAAAAGTTAAAGCAAAAGAATCGAAACAATCTAATAAGAGCAAACTTAGAGAGACAACAGGAAAAGAAGGTTGCCACGACAAAAAAAAATGAGCAGAGTTACCAAGAAAGCGGTAAAATTAGAGTTTCCATGACAATTTATAAAGAGCAAAGTTTCACAATGATAGCATGAGCAACGTTACCACGACAACAGAAAAGGAAAAGTTACCACGACAACAGAAAAGGAAAAGTTACCACTGACGAGAAAAGATACCACAAAGCAACTAAAGATAAGTTACCAAAACAATTTCTTTGAAGCAAAGGTATCATGAAAATAGAAAGAGCAAAGCTACCACCGAAGAGAAAAGTTACCACAAAGCAGTAAAACGAAAGTAAGTTACCACAAAACAAAAATGGAAAGAGCGAAGTTGCCACCGCAAGGCAAAGTTACTACGACAGCAGTAAAAGAAAAGTTACCATAACAGTAATGAGAGCAAAACAACCGCGACAACAGTTAGAGAAAAGTTACTACGGCGATTGTAAGAGTAAGGAGCCTCGCGTGACTTGTGGAAATATACCGGGAACTGCCTCCTCGGTATGGACCAGGGAGGAAAATCGTCCCACAAGTCTAGTCAAATATACATTACTTCCAAGCCAGTCAACGATGTCATGATTTAATGATCCTCAAAACTATCGGCAAAGATTCCATTTATATTTGTTCTAGTACTTAGAACGGCGATAGTGTTTACCAAAATACCGACCGGCACTATATACATAAAAGCATATTTAGCTTGATCACAATGTAAAAAGCATTCCTATTGCAATTTTCTTACAGGAAATATGCCCAAAGTGATGCATGTGCTTGTATACTTTTAGCGTGAACAAATAAAACGAGGAATATACTGTAATCGGATGTATCAGACTACGTGAAGGTATTATGTTATGTTTACGATATCCACCGGTATAATGACTAATGGTTGGATGCCCATCAGAAAAGCCAATACTCCGCAACCTTCAAATCGTGTTCATTTCTAAACCCTGCAAGCTCAGCAGTTTTATCGAACGAAGGCATGTGCCAGTACAATTGTTCCCTCGGGGGAAACACAACTTTTAAATATTGTCGATTATATTCCGTGTGTTATATCAATGTATCACAGATTAAAACGCAGTTTCCCGTAAAATTATTTTATTTTTCAGTAGTTACAATTGAGGACTTGAAAGTAAGCTGGTTTTGATCAGGGTCATAATAATAGTGGTCCATGGTGGCAACGTACGCATGCACTACATTTTTAATAGCATTAGCAACGCACGCGTGTTAAACCATCTCAGTCTTGACCGCTGCAGCGATGTTTATGAAAAACATGAATGAGAATGAATTATTAAACTTGTTTTTTTTTAATTTTGGGTTTAGAAAGTCTTTTCCCACACTATTACCTTTGTATAAGTGATGTTGTATATGTGTGAAAGTGTGTGCGTGAGTGTGTGTGTTACATATGTGGATGTGTACGCGTGCGCACATAATCAAATGTTAATGACAAGTGCATGTTGGCACCTCCGGACTATTTTGCACGAAGCCTTTGTATTGTATTGATTGTGCCAACCCTTTCGTTTTATCACAAAGTCTGGCAGTAATACTGGCTAAGGTAACCAACTCAGTACTGGCTTCACAATGTACAGTAATAAATATCTCCATATCATATTATATCCATTCCCCCTACGAAAAGACATTAGAGATATCATTAAATATATTTATTTTTCTATAAAATTGATTGATTCAAAACCGCGAATGCAGGTTGATTTTTCAAACAAATTCTGGATGGAAAAGAAAGCACTGCAGGTAATAAATTTTAGTTAACTTGGTGTTAAGCTCGCTAGCCCTAACCAGACCTGCTCTGCCACCAGCGCCGGGGCCTCGGCGTGCTAGTGCCGTGTATCTCCCATCGCTCCGGAGCCGTGTTATGCAACAACTGGAGCTGGCGATGACTCATTGTCATCGACGTCTGGAGCTCGGCCGACAGTCACCTGTCCCGGGTATTGTCTGTCACCAGTATCTGATATTGTTTCTGATCAGCACGTAATATTGCAAATGGTTGTCCTTAGTTTGGTCTACCCAAGTCCGTGGTATTGTCTATCAAAGTCTCTAGTATTGTCAGACACAGTACCTGCTATTTTCTGTCAGTCTCTAGTATTATCTACCACAGTACCTGGTATTTCTGCGCATCGAATTCGCGCCGGGTAACAGTTCGCTCTGACCGGGAAAACAGTTTTGACTGTTTCACCCCTACAGCCGAAATTGGACAAAAGGCCAGAAACAGTCAAAAATGACTAATTATAATTTATATAGACTATTGGGTAATAATACCTGGTATTGTCTGTCATAGTATCTGGTATTATCTGTCACAGTACCTGGTATTGTCTGTTATAGTATCTGGTATTGTCTGTCACAATTTATGGTATTGTCTGTCACAGTCTCTGGTGTTGTGTATCACAGTCCCTAGTATTGTCTGTCACAGTCCCTGATATTGTGTATCACAGTCTCTGGTATTCTCTGTCACAGCCTCTGGTATTGTCCGTCACAGTCTCTGGTACTGTCTTTCACAGTATCTGGTATTGTCTGTCACAGCCTCTGGTATTGTGTATCACAGTCCCTGGTTTTGTCTGTCACAGTCTCTGGTATTGTCTGTCACAGTCTCTGGTATTGTGTGTCACAGTCTCTGGTATTATCTGTCACAGTCTCTGGTATTATCTGTCGCAGTCTCTAGTATTATCTGTCACAGACTCTGGAATTGTCTATCACAGCCTCTAGTTTTGTCTGTCACAATTTATGGTTTTGTCTTTCACAATCTCTGGTGTTGTGTGTCACAGTCCTTAGTATTGTCTGTCACAGTCTCTGGTATTGTCTGTCACAGCCTCTGGTATTGTGTATCACAGTCCCTGGTTTTGTCTGTCACAGTCTCTGGTATTGTGTGTCACAGTCTCTGGTATTGTCTGTCACAGTCCCTGGTTTTGTCTGTCACAGTCTCTGGTATTGTGTGTCACAGTCTCTGGTATTGTCTGTCACAGTCTCTGGTATTGTGTGTCACAGTCTCTGGTATTATCTGTCACAGTCTCTGGTATTATCTGTCACAGTCTCTGGAATTGTCTGTCACAGTCTCTGTTATTGTCTGTCATAGTATCTGGTAATATCTGTCACAGTCTCTGGTATTGTCTGTCACAGCCTCTGGTATTGCGTGTCACAGTCTCTCGTACTGTGTATCTCAGTCTCTGGTTTTGTGTATCACTGTCTCTTGTATTGTGTATCACAGCCTCTGGTATTATCTGTCACAGTCTCTGGTATTGTCTGTCACAGCCTCTGTTATTGTGTATCACAGTCTCTTGTATTGTGTATCACAGCCTCTGGTATTATCTGTCACAGTCTCTGGTATTATCTGTCACAGTCTCTGGTATTGTCTGTCACAGCCTCTGGTATTGTCTGTCACAGTCTCTGGTATTGTCTGTCACAGCCTCTGTTATTGTGTATCACAGTCTCTTGTATTGTGTATCACAGCCTCTGGTATTATGTATCATAGTCTCTTGTTTTGTGTATCACAGTTACTGGTATTGTGTATCACAGTCTCTGGTATTGTGTATCACAGTGTCTGATATTGTGTATCACAGCCCCTGGTATTGTCTGTCACAGTCTATCGTATTGTCTGTCACAGTCTCTGGTGTTGTGTATCACATCTTCTGGTTTTGTCTGTCACAATTTATGGTATTGTCTGTCACAGTCTCTGGTGTTGTGTATCACAGTCCTTAGTATTGTCTGTCACAGTCTCTGGTATTGTGTATCACAGTCTCTGGTGTTGTGTGTCACAGTCCTTAGTATTGTCTGTCACAGTCTATCGTATTGTCTGTCACAGTCTCTAGTATTGTCTGTCACAGTCTCTAGTATTGTCTGTCACAGTCTCTGGTATTGTCTGTCACAGTCTCTGGTATTGTCTGTCACAGTCTCTGTTATCCTCTGTCAAAGTCTCCGGTATTGTCTTTCACAGTCTCTGGTATTGTGTATCACAGTCTCTGGTATTCTCTGTCACAGCCTCTGGTATTGTCTGTCACAGTCTCTGGTATTGTCTGTCACAGTCTCTGGTTTTTCTCTGTCAAAGTCTCTGGTATTGTCTTTCCAGTCTCTGGTATTGTGTATCACAGTCTCTGGAATTGTGTATCACAGTCTCTGGTATTGTCTATCACAGTCTCTGGTATCCTCTGTCAAAGTATCCGGTATTGTCTTTCCAGTCTCTGGTGTTGTGTGTCACAGTCCTTAGTATTGTCTGTCACAGTCTCTGGTATTGTCTGTCACAGTCTCTGGTATTCTCTGTCACAGTCTCTGGTATCCTCTGACAGTCTGTGGTATTGTGTATCACAGTCTCTGGTATTGTCTGTCACAGCCTCTGGTATTGTGTATCACAGTCTGTGGTATCCTCCGTCACAGTCTCTGGTATCCTCTGTCAGTCTCTGGTATTGTCTGTCACAGTCTCTGGTATTGTGTATCACAGTCTCTGGGATTGTCTGTCACAGCCTCTGGTATTGTGTATCACAGTCTCTGGTATTGTCTGTCACAGCCTCTGGTATTGTGTATCAAAGTCTCTGGTATTGTCTGTCTCAGCCTCTGGTATTGTCAGACACAGTACATGGTATTGTGTGTCACAGTCTCTGGTTTTGTCTGTCACAGCCTCTGGTATTGTGTATCAAAGTATCTGGTATTGTCTGTCTCAGCCTCTGGTATTGTGTATCACAGTCTCTGGTATTGTCTGTCACTCCCTCTTGTATCGTCTGTCACAGTCTCTGGTATTGTGTATCACTTCCTCTGGTATTGTGTATGACAGTCTCTGGTTTTGTGTATCACAGTCTCTGGTATTGTCTGTCACAGCCTCTGGTATTGTCTATCACAGTCTCTGGTATTGTGTTTCACAGTTTCTGGTTTTGTCTGTCAGTTGCATGAAGTTTCCTTTTTATGATATTGTCTCGGCGAGTACAAGTAACCCACATGACGTCAGTTTGTACAGAGCCGCTTTCTATACAGACAGGACATTTTACGTAAGCGATATATTCCCGCATTATCACATCAAGTGCTTACTCTAAGTTCCTCTCCGGTGTATCACCCCAAAACGCTCGTAAACAACTTTAATTTAATTGTCAGTGGACTTTCCTTACAGTTGTCCATTTTTAGGCTGAGAACGCAGATTGGTGTTTCGAATTGTGTTACGTAAGCTACAAAACAAACAGTTAATATCCCCTTATATGCAAACGCTCGTTCCGTACAACTAATAACATGAATTCCTTATTGACTTGTACCGTTAGAATGGCATAAACACACACAAGTGTTCTCGAAACCCAGATATATCAATATCTCCAAAGTTCTTGTAGTACAATTAAAACAATAATGACGTTATTTGTATACGCGTTTCAGGCTGGAAACTGTGGTTTTACATGACGAAAGAGTATATTGAAGTACAGGTCGCATGCGCTCATAAATACTCCAGACAAAAAACACTCGTCCTTTCTCATTAATTTCCGTTTTGCAGCATGAGCAAGAAATTTGAAATCGTTAAATATCTCAATCGTTAAAGACCAAAAAAGTCTAAAGCAACGAGATATTTAACAGTTCAAGTGTTGTTTTTGTTTTTATTACATCATATGAACTGCGCATAGGTAAAGGAACATTTTCCACTGACGAAATATAGAATTTTTTGCAATGTTTAATGTAATCTTTATAACCAGCCAGACCTCAAAATGTCAGTGACTTCTGCTGAATGAGATCAGATATCTGTACACAAGTTAACCAAGTGGGGAGGATTTACACATAATCGTTATCAGTCTTAGCGTTTATGGTATCAAGGAGACATTAGACCGCCATCCAACCACGTGGGAACAATTCGTCTTCAATTACACGCTTTTATTCTCCGCTGGATATCCAGAGCCAATCGAACACTTGGGTAACATTAAATCAATTTCCATCAGGCGCTCTGAAGATTTCAATGTAAATTGACTGGTCAGCAAAAATTTAAAAGATGCAAATTTTTCGACGGGCAAGAGAGAACATACTATTGATTTGTAAATAGAAAAAAATCCAAACAAAAGTCTGTCTAACCTCAAAGTAGAAACAAACGCACTCTAAGATCGACTTGATAACCCCAAATCTTGAGGCTTGCAACAAAGAAAGCTACTTTATTTTTATGTCTAGGTATTGATGAAGCTACCACGGTCAGGTAAGGGAGATAACTCCATGTAAATCGGGTCAGGGTGCCAATCAGTGTTCCGTTCCAGGTAATCGATCGGTAATAACGATCAACTCAAAATTGTATAGTGATTGTATCGCGCATGGCTGTCAATGTTGGGGAAACTTTTCTTTTGAAAAGAACCGCGTTATCACACTAGATCTCATCACAACTCTCGTCGGTAAAGTAACGTCATGCACGTTTTAGTCACGCGTTGTCACGCAATTACTGAAGTTGCAAACTTTGTTAAGTCACAGTTAAAAAACATGATTTATGTTTGTGAAAAAAAGCATTTAATGACAAATCAAGATATATAGTGGTTTATTTTGAAATGTAAAGATTAGATCCATCTATCATATTGGCATTGTTCTATTTTAAAACACTGTTTTACATGGCGTATATATTTATTTTTAACTCAATTAAATTACCAAATGTTGCGTGTTATATTTGTCAATGAAATTCAAAAGGTTTAAGTTGTCAGTGCGTATGGAATTTTGCCTGATTTCACATCGTCTAGCCAGCATTCATCAGTACGCAACAGCAGAAAGTCGTTTATATATATACCGAAATAATTAGATATTTAAAAATGCTGTATTCAGATAATTTATTTCCTAAGGACTATATTTTTTCATTACTTTCTTTAAAGGGTCTGGTCGGGGGGGAAATACAAAATATATGGGTCTAAATGCGTTCTCTGGCCTTCCAAAAGTTATACCACGGCAATATGATGGTCGAGTTCTGCTTGCAATGTCCGGTTTTGACCACTGAAATCTCGGGGAAGCCCCGCGTAAATTAAGCGCATATCTTTTTATATATGTCACGTGGTTGTTTCGAAAGTGAGACAGTGAAGATAACAACAATAGCGCGCCGTCATGTGCCATGTCGGACTCAACTAGCGGACAAGACAGTAATACTATACGTAAATAATTGTTTTAAAAGGTCATGTATGATGCAAGTGTAGTATTCCTACCTATGTGTTTTTGTTATATATAACGGTATTGATACCTCGTGCCTGTCATGACTTTTGCATGCATCTTTTTCTTTCGCCGCGATGTTTACATTTGGCCTTGTTGATGATGCGCGTTCGGTAAAATTACATCACTGATCTGGGTCAATTGAGAGTTTGAGACTGTCAGGTGACGATTTAGGATTTCTTTAATATTATTAAATTTTTTACTCTTATGGAGTGAATTTCAGCAAAATTTGAATCGGTGTATTTCATAAGAAGTTATTTTAAACATGTGTATGCCGTTTTAGCAAATATGACATGTTTTCCCCGACCAGCTCCTTTAAGTAGGCAGGTAGTTTAGACTTACACAAGCCCCTTGTACATGTATTAATAAAACTTGTTAATTGAAATACAAGCATCTGGAATTGGTCTGGTCGATTTCATGGGGCGTTTCCCAATTAATTAAGTTTGTCTCAAGATAAACAAAATGTATCACCCCATGAGTTCGACAAAAAAAGTATTCATTTCTGGAGTAAAAAAAAAAAAAAATCAGTTCAATTAGAATGATAAAAATGGCAGTATGCAAAAATCACGAAACGTTATCAGTACTGGATGTACAGCTATCATTTAAATGCATGTGTATGCTTTTAGCCTTAAGTATGATTTCTTATGGTGCGTACAAAAGTCCTTTCTTCAAATTCCACAGTTGCTTTCGAAATTTTGCTAATCCTTGTCTCATTAATATCTCCCTCTTAATACATGTATTCCACGTGTGACATATCTGTCATATTGCTACATTGTCTCTGTCATTCGTATCGTCACTATTGTCACTGTACTTCATTTGTACAGGTCAATGTTGAGAAACGATTAAGATATTCTGGCCGATAATTCTAAAGGGTGCATTCACCATTTTTTCTTGCATTTTTTCCGGAGTTTCTTGTAAAATAACAAAATTAAAAGTGAATAAAAGCGTTGATTAAGCTTACCTGTAATGACGTGGACATCTGACACGTTTTCTGGGGATAGACTGACCGCCATGACGTTCATTTCGAAGGCTTCCCTAAGCTGAGCCTTGCGCCGGGCTGATCCGCACAGTCGGTGTATGCCTACCACTTCCAGGCCACGCCGTTCGATCTCGTCCACACATTTCTGTATCAGAATCGGAACATTCCTCAACGCGATTTCCCGTTTAATTACTGTTTCCAGGTCAATACCGAACACACCATTTTTCCGGGGAGAAGTAAGTCTTTGAAAGCACACAGCTGGATCACGGTATAGAAAAGTGACATATAAAAGACCTTTGGGTTCCATTTTCAACGCGACGCTTTTTTTCCCACTTCCGGTAATGTAACTAGGGAGCATCACGGTACCATGGAAACAGAGCCGATGTTTATAATTTGGATCCCAATTGTATATAAGAAATGACACATCTTTAGCGTCCTCGAGTTCAATATCAAATGCTTCGTCCCAATCAAAATTTACAGCACCTGTTCTTATCATGGTTCTGGCCTTGTTCATGGAGTCCACGGAGACAACACAGTAGAGATCTCTAAGGGACATCTTAGAAGATTTTAGACCTTGTCCCGATAAAACGTGAATTCCAAGAATCCCATTTAGACCGGAAGTTCGAGATAACTCTATCCGTCTTCGCATATCTGCCCTGTAGAATTCGAATTCACTATATGCTATTTGTAGAGGTTTTTTTACCAATTGTAAATCTTTAAACCTAGAGGAGGGCCGAGATATAGTCTTGCCATCTCTGTCTATCGTTTTGGCTCTACTTTCAACCGCGCTTGAGGTAGATAAAGAAGCAGGTATTCCACCCCGAGATACCGGATGGTAACCGGGCATTAGTCTTTGGTCATGCGCATGGGAGGTCTCTGTTGTCTCAGCCTCGCTTTGATATGTCCTATACTGATGGAGTGCGTCTGCGCTATGTTTGCGCACAAGTTTTGTATGAGCAGGAGTCTGCGTAGATGCTGCCTTACGAGCGAGAGTAGGAGATATTGTTTTTGGTCCCTGGGGTACTGGCGGTTGACGAGGAGTACATACATAACTATAGTCATCAGAATCACTCGTTGGTACTTTTGGGACTGCTATCTTCGGCGTTTGTACACCTGAAATGAAATAATATATCATTAACATATATGCGTTTAGTTTGCTAAGTATTTTAGCGTCTTCGCAACATGTGAAGGCGGCAGACACTGTTAGTGAAACCAAACAGTAAAACATCGATATAATATCCCTTGTTTCAATTGCCACCTCGTTTGCCACCAACTATTTCGATGTCCCTTATTCTTTCATACAGTTCCTTAAATTCATCACCAAATCCTCTTATACTGACAAAGGTTTCTGGACAAATAGTAGCAATATTCACCGGTAGTAGGACCAACGCATGACGTCATGTGACGGGAGTCAACTGATAGCGGACCTGACATCTGACGCCATATCACGACGTTGCACACTACTTGTAAAGCCAAGTATAAAGTGCTCTCTTACTGAAATGTGAAGTCTCTGGATTTTGGTTTTTGCTAATGATGTCAGACCGACCTATCCACTATCATGTTCATTGAGGTGCCCACGAATATCGCTCCTATACAGAGTATAAAACAGTTTCGAGGATTACAATATATTATACATATCTGTGTTAATATCAAGGTTAAAACAAATTACGAAACATATGGTGATGAAGCGCCACGGACGATATGAACAAAATTAATATTCCACTAACTGTACCCATTAGACAGACCAGGTGTCATATTCAGCATCTTCCCTAGTCGCAACTTAAACTCTTTAAATCCATTTCTAATTATGATCTTACTATATACCGAAGCTGTGTTTTTTTCTGACGGAGTTTAACGACAGCGTTAAACATCATAAGTTCGTTTTTATTTTTTATGTTTTTTATTTCGCCAGACAAATCCCAAAAAATGCTAATGTAACAAAAACTTATATTAAGCTAAACATGCTTTGAAGATTTCACAAAGCTATGTAAGATTCACGGAAGCATGATATAGGTTTATGAAACAGGAAAGCAAGCTTCGGAATGGCACCCAAGAGACTAGACACTGTCCTCGTTGTCAATCAAGCATTCCGTAAACGAACGGTTCGAAGGACGACCCCCCAGCGGGATGCGCGGGAACAGTTTAATGTAAGTGTAGCAGACGATGAAAACACTCGTGATTGCCCTAAGAGATAAGGAATGAAACTCTAATCCTAGCTTTTTCCCATCTAAGTGATCTGATAAAGGGGGGTGTATTCGTCACCTGAACATGTAGTGGGTGCTAGAAACGAGTAAAGACGAGAATAAACGATGATTATAATTGAAAAAATGTGTCAAATGCTTGGGGATCCAAACTTGAAATCATCGACGGTGGTTAACGCATAATATACGGGACTTCATTATGTGTATTTTGAGGGGGAAAAAAGATCAGACTGAATCCTCTTACTGTTCCTTTTTTTGTCAGAAATTTGAACATTGCAAGAGCGTACATGTAGTTTTAAAGTCCCAAATAATGTGCATGTATTGATGGCAGACGTATGCATTCTACCGAGTGAAATTGCAATTTTAAAACTATAATTGGTCTCAATTTTATTTGCTGAAAAAACACACTGAATCTTTTGCTCCCTTTTGGCAGGAAATTGAACAGTTAAATATGTAAATTAGGTCCCAAATAATGCGCATGTATAATTAATGGTGTATGTATGATTTCTACCGAGTGAATCAGGAAAATTCTCGGTCTATTTTACACAATCTCGTTTCAAAATTCTACATCCGGATCCGGGAAATCGGTTTCTGAACTGATGATGAGAAATAGAGTTGGTTCTCGATCTGTTAATGCCCAATGGCAAGCATAAAGCTATAGGAGAGTGAAATATGAATATGGCGCCAAGGTGGAGGGGAGACGGTGTCTGTCCAATACTCGCTGTCCTGATACTGGTATATTTCATGAGGCAAAGCGATATTTTGTAATTTCCTTACAATGTAGTTACATCATGTATTGTAACTCTACAGTAAATGGGCGAGTGCACATTATCGATGGGGACTATTTGTCTAAGGTATCTATGTCTTCAGCATACTTCCGTGTCGATTACGTTCAGACTCCATTGATCGAAACACTACAATCACTCCATCTTTGCGATAACGCATCGTCTCTGGAAATGATCGCGCTCTAACGACGTCACTTCTAAAGTCTAAAACTACCGAGCCTGTATTTATGAAACCAAGCATGGATTTGTGCTCAAGCCTAATTTCTTGTTTCGGTTAAAAATTGATGAAAAACATGATTTTGTCAATGATTCGGAAAGCATTTGAAGATTCTTTAAGCTAAATACTGTTTTCATTGTTTACCTTTGACTTTGTGATCGTTTGACATGGTTTGAGCACAGAATCCATGCTTGAGCATGAGAATAGTTTAAAAAATACGGGCCCCGATCATATATCCCGTTCTGTAACATACGTTATTCTTACAAATGTCGTCTCAGATGAAAACGGATAAATGTTCTAAATAAGACACTATTTAAATTTGGATTATAACTGTACTTTTACATTAAGCGATGGTCAACAACGTTCATAATGCAAATGATATCTGACAAATCTACGAAACAAAATTAAAGTGGGAAAAACTCTCCAAGGAGTCCAATACATGTGTCATTCGACTCAGATCTCTTACATGATTTCCCAAGGTCCGTGTCCAAAATTTAATCTCATAAACAAAATAGCTATTTTGAAGTGTTATATGTGAAACGTTTAAAACACGTGATACGAACACGTATGTGTTATCGATTGCTATGTCCCCCGGGCCCGTATAGTTCCTCCGTCGCACTGATACCCCCTACTGAATCCATGGGATACATTGTAACTGGTGTATCACCCAAATGGAGCTCCACTATACTTGATGATTGGCCAATACAGCTAAGGAGCCATTGCGCACCTGGTGTTCTGCCTAATCTCATATAGGGCTTTCGTTCCGTGTTGTGATTAATGACAAAAAAAAACTTATGGAGTTGTGCTTATCGAAGTGACAAGGGAATCTCCTTATGGAGCCTCAGTGCACGTGATGACTGATTCATCACACTATGGAGCTCCTGTATCTTGTTTTATAATCCATGATGATCGATAAACACTCCTATTGAGCCCCTGTGTTTCGTTTAACAACCCATATGGAGCCTCAGTACGTTCTCATTATATCTGACAAACACTCAAATGGAGCCCCTTGTACACGGTGATATAAAATACTGTTCTCCATGACTGATAAACACCCCTATGGAGCCTCTTGTACTCTTGACGACTGATTACCACCGTTATGGAGCCTCTTGTACTCGTGACGACTGATTACCACCGCTATGGAGCCCCTGTACTCGTGACGACTGATTACCACCGCTATGGAGCCTCTTGTACTCTTGACGACTGATTACCACCATTATGGAGCTCGAGCCTCTTGTACTCGTGACGACTGATTACCACCGTTATGGAGCCTCTTGTGCTCGTGACGACTGATTACCACCGCTATAGAGCCCCTGTACTCGTGACGACTGATTACCGCCGCTATGGAGCCCCTGTACTCGTGATGACTAATTACCGCCGCTATGGAGCCCCTGTACTCGTGACGGCTGATTACCACCGTTATGGAGGCTCTTGTACTCGTGGCGACTGATTACCGCCGCTATGGAGCCCCTGTAGTCGTGACGACTGATTACCACCGCCATGGAGCCCCTGTACTCATGACGACTGATTACCACCGCTATGGAGCCCCTGTACTCGTGACGACTGATTACAACCGCTATAGAGCCCCTGTACTCGTGACGACTGATTACCACCGTTATGGAGCCTTTTGTACTCGTGACGACTGATTACCGCCGCTATGGAGCCTCTTGTACTCGTGACGACTAATTACCGCCGCTATGGAGCCCCTGTACTCGTGACGACTAATTACCACCGCTATGGAGCCTCTTGTACTCTTGACGACTGATTACCACCGTTATGGAGCCTCTTGTACTCGTGACGACTGATAACCACCGTTATGGAGCCTCTTGTACTCGTGACGACTGATTACCGCCGCTATGGAGCCCATGTACTCGTGACGACTGATTACCGCCGCTATGGAGCCCCTGTATTCGTGTGATTACTGATGTATACCATTGCATCCGTGCATGTAGACCCATCACTCGTAATGACGGATAACCATCCCTATGGAGCCCCTTTACTCGTGATTACTAAACTGTTGATAACTGGTAACCACCATATGGAAACCCCTGTACTCGTGTTAACTGATAAATACCCCTATGGAGCCTCAGTGCTCTTGATGACTGATAAATACCCCTATTGAGCCTCAGTGCTCGTGATGACTGGTGAATCACCCGTAATCCATTACACGACATGATGAAGTGCACGTCCTGAGGTGAGAGATTATCCGCGTCACATGGATTCAGCATCAGATACAGCGGCTGTCAGCAGCTGCATCTGTGTGCTGGAATTTAAACCTTTGACTTCCAGAGCTTAAATCCCAAACCGTGGGAGTAGCTTGTAGAAATTAGAAAAGATATTTCATTGTTATTCTGTGACACTTTCTTCGTTTTAGATATTAACATGTGTGCTAAGAATTCAATCAGTAGAACACAATGTTTTAAAAAATAGCATTGCTTTAATATATGGAATTACAAAAACAAACACGTTGAAAACAATTCATTAATTAAAATGAGTGTATTTCAATAAATCATAATAAATATAAATCACTTTTCTCAGGTCTGAAAACCCGATATAGCGTGAACTCTATGTGGGAGGTACAAGAGCAGAAGTTAGTCTTGGAAATGCTTGCAAGAGCAATTCATTGATTCCGTTTTGTTGTAAATTCCGTCACTGTGAACATATAGGCCGCTACATGTACATGTCTAAGTCGTCATGTGATCTTTGAATGTGAAAGGTGAAGAATATAAAATAGCCACAAATGTATGTAGATTAATAAGCCGAAGAGGCGAGATTATACCTGCTTCACAAGCAACGTCAATAAGTCTTATTCCAAAGTGTGCGTCCACAATGCCTCGGTTTAGTGGTTTATTTATAAGGTTATATATACATATATTTATTGGTCTCCAACGCCAGATTCAAACAGATCTC